AAACTAGTCCCACAGGTTTTGGGAGGTGACATTTTTGGTCCCAAAAGAATCCATAAAATCTTAAATAGTCCCGCCACGTGTGTGCCACGTGGCATTCCGAGCCGAAAAATTAAAAAAAGTCCTACTTTTGATTATTTTTCAAAAGCTGCGGGACTATTAATATTTTTTGAATTCCGTTGGGACTAAAAATGTCACCCCCCTATACCTATGGGACTAGTTTTGAAATTTTCCCCTAAACTCTACGAGGATTCATCCTGAAACCCCCTAAAGGACCACATTGGTCGAAATAATACACACAAACAACTCAACACAAAGAATAGGAGGAAAACAAAGAAAGCAAGAACACAATGTCTTTCACAACAACACACAAATTACAATCAAAGTTTGAAGGATCCTGAATCTTTGAGCTCAACTGGCCAAGTAGGGATCCCCAGACTGTGATCCTAATTCTGTTGTTTTGATTACTAGACAGGTAGTATTATTATTATTATATATTTTTTTTTTTTTGTGCAATAAAGGAGGCCAAAACGCCTAAGCTAGGACCCGTCGGGGGTATAAGACGCCAATGTAATTAAAATCAATATCCAAGTACGCATCAAAATTTGAAGTCCAACATACTGACTGTTCATAAACATGCATCAGCCAATAATACTACCAAAACACCCAAGAGCGCTTGGATGAGATGGCTTGGATCTCTTCCAGCTTAACCAGTTGTCTCGAGTTCGAGCCCTGGGAATGCAGCAGTGTTAAAACTCTTGAGGGAGAGTTTTGCCACAAGGGCGGCCCTACCCGGCTCGATTCCGGATTAGTCGGTTCCCCTGTGAATCCAGAAACCGGAAGGTCCCTGTACCAAAAAAAAAAAAAAAATACTACCAAAACAGAACATATGATTGAGTAGGCCACTATAACAATGATATCAATTTCTTTGATTAATTATACGCACAAACAGGTTCAGAGTTTTCTTTCACTACTGTGTTCTGGATGAAGTCATAAGTGTTGTCAATTAGGCATATGATTATTTTCATATTATATTAAATATTTTCCTTCATTGAAACAATAATTATTTTTTTTAATCCATATTTTTCTTCCATAGTTAGCATAAAACTTTTCTTTTTATTTCATTTTTTTTTTATCACATCTTCAGTAAATCTATCGTATTAATTTATTTCTCAATCTTTCTCTCCGATATTTATATTCTACTCATTTCAAAAATGATATAATATTATATTATATTTTTTTAAAAATGATACTTATTTACAATCTTATCCGTATGCTGTTAATTTAGTAAAATCAAATAATTATCCAAATTCTAAATTATGTATAAAGTTATTAAAAAAAAAAAAGCTAAGACCTCATACGACACTTGATCTATTAGGCATAAAATATAAATAATAATCTTTTTTTTTTTTTACTTAATATTAAATATACATATTCTGTTTGTTTAAGATATATATTTTGGTAGTCATGTAGTAGTAAATGATATATCTAGTAAATATTATTGATATTTTTCTATGATATAAGTAAAACAATCCATAAGGTCTGTTTAACTATTATGATAAAAAAAAAAATATATATATAGTCTGATAATTTAATTAAAACACAAAGTGTTGTCTTATACAAAATTAAATTTTACAGAAATTTTTAAAATAAAAGCTTCAATAATTTTTATATGCTTCTTAATTCAAGACTCTTGCAATAAATAGGTAGTGTACTAATTATTTATTTATTTAATTTTTTTTTTCAATTTAAATGTGCTTATTCGCTGATTTATCCTCAAACAGCATTTTTGGCCACTTTACACTGTACTTTCCCCACTGAAATTATTAAATTCCAATTTGGGCATCCACCAAAGTAGACTAATGGGCCTTTCTATAATCACTTACTTGACCTTAAATTATGATGTCACCCAAACAAAGGATAGAGCACATGGAAAAGAGAAAAGTGGATTAGATTAATTATTATTAAATAATGTGTGGTGATGCAAACTTAAATTAAATAAGGAAAAAGCTACTTAGTACAACTTTTTTTTTTTGTACAACATTCAACGACAACATGATGTGGCATAATGTGGGTGTGCTCTCCTATTCCGACTTTCCCACAGCTTCCGGTAGCACAGTCGAGACATCGAAGCTGGTACTCAGCGTGACAGCGGCGCATCGCGGTCATATTCTCCGAAGAAGGATCCAGATCGTAAGCGGGTTGAGATGCAAATAAATGCGTGGTTAAGATTTGAGTTAATGATACTTTTAACTACGTTGTCAAATAATATTGTTAACTATAATTGTATATGTAGCATTGCCCATTAAATAATGTACTTCTTTTCCAGCTAGGCATTGGCTGAGCACACTAACAAGTGTTTAAAAGTGATAATCTCCTTCAAATATGATAATTTAAAATAATATAAGCAATTTGGCAAATGTGTATTGAGTCACAACTCACAAGTCCTGACTTAAGATTTGATTGGTACTAGCTACTTTTCACAAATTTACTTGATCCAATAATTAGAGCTATCTTTAATCTTTAATTATAGTCTTTTTGAAGATTCGAGGTATAAATTTACTTGATCCAATAATTAGAGCTATTTTTAATCTTTAACTGCTGTGTATCTTGTGCGATGCACGGACAAGTTTTTACTTAAGAAGACTTTTCTAAAACTTTACATTAAACACAATTATTTATGTTTAACATCTCATTATTAGAAGAAAAAAATACAAAATATGAAAAATAGATATGAAAAACGCTTTCAAGATTTAATACAATTAGTCGTTTTATGAATTAGAAAAATAGACTAGAATAAGTAGTGAACTCAACCGTGTTCGTTCACTAATATAGGCCGTGTCTTCCGGTTGCCTCTTATGAATTAAACACAACAATAATTACGGATTGAATGTCTAATTCAACTATAGATATGAAAAATCTTATTTGGGTGATCAATCTAAAAAAGACTCGAATTATTCAGTCAAAAAGACGCGCACAATTCCAAAAAGATATTGAAATTATCAAGGGTAAAATACGCCGTGTCCTCCTGTGTTTAACTAAATGTGTGTGTTTCTCACTGTGTTTTAAAAAATACGCCAGACCTCCTTGTGTTATTGGTGCACGGATCCCCCATTCCGTCCAAGTTAACCACGCGTGTATGACACCTTCTCTAGCTGCGAGATTTATTCAATTTTTTAATTTTTAGAATTACTAATTTACCCTTATGCCCTCCTGAATTGTATTGCAAAAGCTAAAAATTTATAGTGTAGGAAGTGGGACTCAAACCCAGATTGCAAAGAGAGGGCACGCGCCGCCGCTAGGCTACATGAATGTTGTGTAAACTATTGAACACACATATATTTAAAATATAAAACGAAAATAAATTGAATAAAATAAAAATAAATAAAATAAAATAAATAAAAATCTAATACGTAAGTTAATATAAAGTAAATAATTAATAATAATACTAATAATCTGAAATAAATTAAGTTAACAAAAAAATAATGAAACAATTATATTAAAATAAAGTAAGATAAAATTTAATATAGTAGCAATTAAAATTAAATAAATTTTAAATTTTTAATTACTAAAATAATTTAATTATATAAATTCTGAAATGAAAAACAATGATAATAAAATTAAATAAAAAATAAATGAAATTAAAATAAAATAAAAATATTATAAGATAATAAGTATAAAAATTGTAAAGTGAAATAATATAATAAATCAAATAAGTTATTATAATATAATAAATTAAAGTAAATAAAAACCTTAAATTAATATAATAAAATAAAAGAAAACATAATTTATCAAATACATGTAATATGGTTTACTCTTACATACAATATCACTGAAAAAAATTGAAATAAATTATAATTTTTTAGTAAAGAATTTAGTTTTTAATAAATAATTTTAATTTCTAATTTTATTAGTAAAATTTATCTAAATTTTATTACATTATCTTAAGATAACCAAAATAAATAAAGTTTGTTAATTAAGAAAATATAAAATGAACAATGCAATAAAATAATATGGAATAATATAAACTAAAATAAATAAATAATATAAAAATAATCTGCCAATTTATATTAAACTTTAGTACATCAAATACTAAAGCTTGAGTGGTGCAGTGGTTGCTTGCATTATCATGCTCAAAGGTGGCCTCACGTTCGAACCCCAAAGACAACATTTGTTTTAATTCAATTTCTCGCGATATATTCAATATATCGTGAGAATTTCAGTTTATCGTAAATATATA